TCTTCTTCTTCTTCTTCTTCTTCTTCTTCTTCTTCTTCTTCTTCTTCCTCTTCTTTGAAGAGATGGTTGTGTCCTTCCTTCAGACCACTGGGGATTAGTGAGTGATATTTATTGTCATGCAGAACAGTATGAGATACAACATGGTATACAGAAAAGAGCAAAATAAATACAAGACAATTTCAAGAAGGAGAGTCAATACAACATAGATCTAGATAATTAAATATAAAATAATAACTGGGAGGAATCAGGAAAGGCCCTTCTGTAGGATGTAGCCATTGAACTGAGCCTTAAAAATAGCTAAGAGGCAGGAGGTGAAGAAGGTTAACATTCCAGGCGTGGAGGACCAGTTGCTCAAAGTCATGGAAATAGAAAATGAAATTTCTAGCATAGGGAAGAGAAAGCAGGACAGTTTGGATGGATTGCAGAGCCAATGAGTCGACCAGCATTTGTTAAGCACCTACTATGTGCCAGGCACTGTGCTAAGTACTAGGGATACAGAGAAAGGCAAAAGACAAAAACCAAAATAACCCATCCCTGATCTCAAGGAAGTCTAAACGGACAGACAACATGCGAATAATTATGTACAAACAAGATATAAAGAAGATAGATTAGGGATCATTTTAGAGGGAAGGTACCAAAATTACTACTAGAATACTAGAAGGACCAGGTGCATCAATTAATACAAAACAAAACATTCCTTCATTGTTATCCTTAAATTCTGGTCTTTCTAGTGCTTTAAGGAGCGTGTAGAAATTCTTGGCAAACCCTAAAATCCTCAACAAATGTAAGGAATTACTTTTGTTGACTAAAGGATATTCTTGAGTTTTCCCACTGACCTTGTACAGCATGATGTGTCCACCCTAGTTGGGTAATCCAGTCTTTTTATTGATTAGACAGTCTCTTGGGGACTGGCTCATCCTCCTGTGGTCATCAGGGGAAGAGTTGCCCACATGCCCATCCCTGGGAGAAAGCCATGTTGTGGACATTCATTCACCCTCCTCAAATAGTGCCCAATGAAAGCACCCCAGACTCAAAGACCTAGGGACAGTGTTTGGTGTCCTTGGACTTTGGAATGGAGTTGTACAGCTTTCAAGATGTCAGTCCCTTCTGCTGTGGGTGGTTGTTGTTCAGTCATTTCAGTTGCGTCTGACTCTTTGTGACCCCATTATGGTTTGTTGGTTTGGTTTTTATTTGTTTGTTTTTGATAAAGATACTGGAATGGCTTACCATTTCCTTCTCCAGCCCATTTTACAGATGAGGAAACTGAGGCAAACACAGTTAAGTGACTTGCCCAGGGTAACACAACTAGTAAGTGTCTGAGGCCAGACTTGAACTCAGAAGATGAGTCTTCCTGACTTCAGGCCCGACACTCAATCCACTGCCCTGAGGAACTAGTAGTTCTCTTGTATTTAAAGGGATCACTCATAGAAGAATTAGCCTTATTTTGCTTGGCCCCAGGGGAACAGAACCAGGAGTCACGGAGCGGAATTGATGAGTAGCAGAAGTCAGCTCAATGGAACAAAAACCTTCCTCACAATCAGACCCGTCTGTCCAAGAGTGGAAAGTTTCAGGGGCTGTGTCAGTAGGTAGTAAGTTCCCCATCACAGAGTCTGGATGAGCAAATATCAAGGATGTTGTCATGGGATTCCTGTTTGGATTGAGCTTGGGCCAGATGGCCTCCCAGGTCCCCTTCCAAACCTGAGATTATGTGATAATATGATACTTTACAAATAACAGAAATGCACCGGAAAGAACAGAAGGAAAGCCAGAAGGAAAAAAATAAACTGCAGGCAAGCAGGAAAGCTTTGAAAGTTACATGTCGAGTTTATTATATTTATAATGAAAAAGAAAAGTAAGCTGTATAGAACAGACCTGCAGTTTAATGTACACTCCTCTTTTTCTGTTCTGCTTGGAATATGGAAATGTGCATTTTATTTGTTGTTTAATTTCAGAATAAAAAAAAAAGCAGAAAAAAAAATGACAGGACATTTTTCTCACAACAACCCTATATAATAGGTGAGCTACTATCCCCATTTTTCTAGATGGGGAAATGGAGGCCCAGAGAGGTCATAGGGTCATAGATACAGAGCTAGAAGAGATCTTAGAGACCATCTTAGAGAAGAAAGAAAATGAGGCCCAGGAAGAAAGAGCACTGAGTCTGGAGTCAGGAAGACTTGAATTCAAATCCAGCCTCAGACACTTCCTGAGTTCTGTTTGCCTCAGTTTCCTCAACTGTAAAATGAGGATAATAATAGTACCCTCTCCCCAGGGTGAGTGTGAGGAATAAATGAGTTCATATTTGTAAAACACAGCACAGTGGTTGGCACATTGTAAGTGCTTAATAAATGTTCATCCCCTTTCTCCCCGTTAAGTGACTTGCCTGGGGTCACACAGACAATAAAGCATCTGCAGTGTGTTTTGAACCCAGCTCAGAACCCCACCATGAAATGCATATTGAGGACTACCTTCCAGTATTCCTCTCTGCTCAGTATTTTCTGACACAGAAGTCTAACTCACAGGTTCTCTGCTTGGTAAAGATTAGCCAAACAAGCCAATCTCCATGGAAGCTGGGAGCTTGATCTTCTTTGTTGGCCTTTGAAGGGATAAAAATTTAGCCTTGAATCACCCCAGGCAGGGTAGGTGGAAGCCCGCGAGCTACCTGAGAGACAGGTCGATCCTGGCAGGGAGAGCCTCCCTCCTCACCGCCTACATTTGGAATCACAGAGAAAGCTGGCAGATCTGGGACAAAGAAAGGGGCAGAGACCAGAAGGGAGAGAATTGGGCCAGCTGGTGAATGATCCTTGTGGTGTCATCAACTTTCAAAAATTCTATAAAGAAATGCCACCAGATAGGGAAAGGATGCAAGCATCCTTGGGTCCCAGACCCAGACCCTGGTGGGAAGATTTCTTTTAAGTGTGATAGTATGTCAGGAGAGGCTGCCCACCCCATCTTTTCCATCACGTAGGCCTAGTAGAGAATTAATATATGTGATAGAAAGAGCGTGGGAGTTGGGCTCCGGAGGCCTGAATTCAAATCCCGTCACTGATCCTTACTAGTCATGTGACTGGGAGCAGGTCAGTACGCTAGCCTAAACTTCAGTGTTGTCATCTGCAAAATAGGATTAATAATAGACTACCTACCTCACCAGATTGTTTGGAGGAAAGCACTTTGTAAAATGTGCTTTTTAAACAAAATAAAGCCAAATTCTATGGAATTGTAATGACCAATCATGGCCCTAGGAAAAAAAAAAGATGAAAAAAAATCCCTCTTTTTATTAAAGTGGTGGGGCCTATGGGTGAAAATGTTGTATACAGGTTCATACACAGTCAGTATGTTGGTTGTTTTCCTTAACTTTTTTATTGTTTTTACAAAGAAAGGTTCATAGGAAGTTGGTGTGATGGGGGGAGGAGAAAAGGAGAATATCTAGAAAGGATTGTGATTATGTGATTTTAAAAACAAAGGAAAAAACAAATTTTAACTAATGTTGAAAAACAAACTGTGATTTAAAAACAAAAGCATTAATACAACTTTTTGAAAAATGTACTTTGTAAGTAGCTCTGGTCTTACTTTGTAAGAAGCTGGTCCTCTTTCTGTCTGGAGGTGTTTGTTGGGGAAGCTTTGTTTCCAACCCAAAGTATGGCTTGACATGGGTTAGATTAATTTTTCTTTCCTTCCTCTTTTCCCATTTAGGTAAATCACATCCGAACTCGAGATTTTGACTGCTGCCTGACTGTGCCACTCATCTCTGAGGCCGGAGACAAGCTGGATCTAGTCATAAGCCGGAACCCCCTGGCAATGCCCAACAGCATGCAGCAGGAGGAGAATAGAGTGATTCCCAGCTCACCCTCTGTAGGTCTGGAGATGAGGGACAGCTCCCGGATGCTCTGAAACCTGACCCTGGACCTGAAAGTCTCCTATGTGGCAGAGGCACTGGGGACATCCAATACGACTGTGCCTCTGTACCCCAGTGTTGGAACTGGGGCTAGAAAAGGCAGGTGGCAAGGTTCTGAAAGAGGTCAGACCACCCAGAATGGCTCCTTCTGGCCCCTCAGCCTCACCTTGGGTCCCTGGGCTGCTGAGAAGTAGCTGAGGTCAGGACCTATGCTCTCCATCCATCTTTCCTGCCTGCGCCCAGGCTGCCGTCCAGCTGGTATTGAGTTGAGGCTGTCCTTTTGCCCCTCTGCTCCCATCTCAGAGGGTCTGCACACTCTCCAAATGTGCATACACACACACGGTGCTATATTCCTTGGACAGCATTTGTGTGAAGATCTTACCCATCATATCTTGTCATTTCCAAGGTAGCCATCACATCACACACCTTTCTCTTTCCTTCCCTCCACGTCAACAGTCATTTGGGCACATTCATCAAATGTGGCTTGACCTGAACCCCCATTCCCATATTCTCTATTCCTGGGGTCTGTCTTTTGGGCAGCAAAGGCTGCTCTATTTGCAGAGGGATTGAGTTGGCGTCTTCTGGTCATACAGCCATAGATCATTAAAGCAGAAAGGGACCTTTGAACATAGAATGTCAGAGCTGGGAAGCATCTTACATGGTTAAATGTTGGAGCTGGAGTGGCCTTAGAATATAGAAAGTTGGAAGAGACCTTAGATCTCATCTAATCCAATTCCTTTTATTTTCCAGGGGAGGAAATGATCCCAGAGAAGGGAAATTATTTGCCCATGGTCACACAGATGGTGTTAGAGTTTAGGTTCCAACTCCCAAGCCCAGCATTCTTTCCACTATAGGTGAGGTCCACTAGACAGTGTTGCCAAAGTTCTGATTACCTGTGGGTGCCAATTTGTGCACCTTTATTCCTTTCTTTAAGTAGACTCGAATAAGGTGCAGGAGAAAAAGTAAAGAAAGCCTTCAGATCTGACTGTATCTCACTCTGGGATTGTGCCCAAATTCAGGGGACATTTACAACTGTATTAGAGTATCTGGCCTGAAATGGTATGGAGTATCTTTTCATTCCATGTAATATCTCTAGGATAAGATGGGAAAAGACATCTAATGGCCAATGAGTATGGAAGCTCTTGTCTCTCTTGATGAAAAGAATTATGACGGCATCGAGGCCCAACACAAGATGCCTAGACACTTGACAAATCAGTCTGGCCTTAAACACACCAGAGGGAAGGGCAGGGGATGAGCAGAAGAGAATATTTGGAGTCCCTAGTGTGAGCTCTTAGCCCCAGTCCCCATTCACCAACCATAAATGAAAACCATTCCACAAAAGGATCATTTGATGAGACTTGGAATGTGTAACCTGTTAGAAGAGAAAGTTGGAGGTGAGGATTGGGTAGAGATGATGATCATCTTTGAGTATTTGAAGGGCTAGCTATTGAAAGAGGCAATAGGCTTCTGCTTGGCCAGAGTTCATTTCAATGAAAGGAAAAGCCTTCCAATAGTTAGAAGAGACCAAAAGTGAAATAGACTGCCTCAGGTCTGGGGCTCCCCATCAATGAAATTCTTCACCCTGAGGTTGGATAAGATAGGCAGATCATAGAGGGATTTTTCAGTGAGGAAAGCACTGGGCTAGATGACCTCTGAAGGTCCTTCCAACTCTGAGATTCTGTGTTTTGGAGGGAAAGGCAAGGAGTAAAGGGAAGGAAGGGAATTCTTGGAGTTGTCAGTGACCATCTATCATCCCCAGGTTCTGAATTAAAGGTTAGGAATTGAGGAAAAAGGGAATGTTTTAAGTCTAAAGTACCTGACCTTAGCCCTGTTCCTGACATCCTTCAATCCTAGGCCTAGCTTCTAAGATGTGACTTCTCCCACACCAGTTTCTTACGGGTTCCCAAATTTAATGAGATGATGTCAAGGCTCTGAAATAATTTTCCTCCTAATTTGTTTGCCCAGGTCTATTACTTGTTTAAGGTTTTAGGGAAGCCGACAACTCTTTAGAGGCCAAACTGGGACCCCCACTAATTACAAAAACATGATGTTGATGCTCCTAGATCCCAGGTTTCAGAGAGACATCAGCGCAGGGAATTGTCTAAGATGGCAGAAGGTGTAGAAACCATATCACAAGGTCAATTAAGGAAACTGAGGACATATAGCCTAGAAAAGAGAAGACTTGGGGGAAGGGAGAAGGAGGTAAAGATGGGGCACAGGACCTGTGCTCAGACTATCTGAAGTGCCATTTTATGAAAAAGAGATTCTATCTATACTGTTTAGCTCCAGAAGACAGACCCAAGACTAATGTGTGCAAGTTACAGAGAGGCAAATTTCAGTTCAGAATAAGGAAAAACTTCCTAATAATCAGAGCTATTCAAGGAAGAAAGGGCCTTGATTCAACTTGATTCAATCTTAAGAAATAAATTCTCCATGAGTGGGAATATTCAAACAGAGGCTGAATGACCATTTATTTGTCAGGGATGTAGAAGACATAGGGAAAAGAAGTAGACTTCTGGGGTCTCTTCCATCAAGCTTTAAGAGTCTAGGGTTGATTCTATGTTTCTATAGTTTGAATCCAATGAAAAGCATGAGGGTGAGGATCTAAGTCCCCTTGGATAGGTGACCTTTACTGTCAGATAGTCACCTATGGTGGTTCTTGGCAAGCTTCAGCCACCCTCCCCCCCATCAAAGTTCCAATGCCACCTTTGGGAACCCATGTCATAGATGAGACCTCAGTGACATTAACAGGAACAGACTAAGAGTCTTCAGTGTTAGGACCTGATCCCAAGCTATCCATCAACTACTAGATACCAGGCATTGGGAATACAAAGACAAAAAAATGAAATAGTCCCTACCCTCAAGGAACTTGTAGTCTACTTACTTCCCCTGGTAAGTGGCACCACCCCCAAGCTCATATGCTTTGGTTAATCATGGTTAATTTTTCCTCTGATCAGCTCAAGACAGGGATAGTGAAACTTTTTTTTTAATTTTAGGGTTACTGGCAGAGTAGAGATTGGGTTGGGCAGGGAGTCAGTGAAGTGCCATATAAGTAAAGAGAAAATTTATTATTTTTTGAGAGAGATAAATGTTATATGTTCCATGTTGTAAATGAAGTTTTTTTCTTCACTTAGGCCACAAACTCTAATCAATAAATATTGTAAAATTCACCTCATTCTTACCTTATGGCCAATAAAAGAAGGAAGAGAGAGAGGAAGGGAGAACAGAGAAAGAAAGAAGATGGGGTATGAGAAGACAGAAAGCAAAGGGGTGAAGAGAGACTGATATTTACGATGGACCTGAGACCCCAAAATCAAGCTCATTTACTAATGCTGGTAGGGATTCTTTTGAGAGAAGTAAATATCTTCCCTATCTCTCCAGATTGGAGGCTCTCCACCTCTGCTATAAATGAACAAATCTCCAGAAGAGAGAGACCTCCCACCCTCCTTTTCCTATCTCCTTGCCTTTATTATTCAAGCTATCTGGGTCCTGTTTGCCCTCTCTCTCTTTTCCTCCTGTCTTCCAACCCTTTTGTCTTCCTACCTTCCCTCTGCTCCTTCTGCCCTATCTTCCTCTCTTCCTCTTGCCTTCCATCCCTTACTTCATCCCTCTTTTTCTCCTTCCCTCTCTCTATCCCTCCTTTCTTCCTTTTCTCCCTCCCTTCTGTACTTCCCTCCTTTCCTCCTGCCCTTTCTCTTGTCCTTTTGCCTTCCCTCCCTTCTTTCTGCCCTCCCCTTCCTCTCTTCCTCCTGCCCTCTCTTCCTTTCTCAAGAAGTACTAGTGCCCAAGATGTGCCCAGCCTGGGGCTGGCCACTATGGGATGAACAATAGAAGGAGAAATCTTGGCCCTGCTCCCAATCATTTTATCTCCAATTGGCAAAGCCCAATACATCTGATCTCCATTTTCCTTCCTTTCTTCCTCCACTTTCTCCCTTGTGCTTCCCCCGACCCCTAGCTCTCATCCCCTTTTCCTTTCTCACTTTCTGGGTTGATTCCTCCTATCCTTCTCCACTTCTTATCTCCATTCCCTCCATCTCTGTCCCCTTACAGGGTGCACTCACTGAAGACTGGATGTGAGGGATGGGAAGGGGACTGAGCTGCTCTGTCTGACTTTGTTTGTCATTGGTACCACTGGGTGGCCTCAGAAAGGGACTGCCCAAACACAGACTTCACCAGCCAGGGCCACAGGTGGGTCTGATGGAGTTGAGTTCTTTCCAGCATCCCCACAGCAGATGCCCTCAGATCTGTGCGAGACTTGGGGTCCTTCCAGTTCATTACGGGTACTGGGCCTCTCCCTTCCACCCTTGACTGGCTGAACCCACCCCTGTTTCTGGGTGACTGGCTGGCCCATTGACTATAAGCAGGATGCCTTCTGATCCTTTTCCCTAAAACTCTCAGCAGCCTCTTGGCCTTCCTCCTTACTGTCGTCACAACCCTCTCATTGAAGGTCTGGATGTTCACATGACCATCTATCCTTTAGTTTCTGTGATTTGCCTACACCAAGAACTAACTGCAGCTAAAGCCAGGAAGCCTCCCCACACCACATAAAGCCAGTCTCACAATCACTCCTGGGGATTTCCCTGAATTTACCAAACAAATGACTGCCACCCTCATTACCTGGTCTAATTTGAGTAGCACTTTATTTTGGTTGAGGCTGGAGGTTTGGTGGTTGCTTTGTTTATTTGGGTTCCTTTGTAACTTTCCATTGGGGCTTGTCTTAGAAAGGGAAGTGATTATTTGACATTTCCCCACCCGCCAGTAGGTACTTCCTTTTCTTTACTCTTCTGGTCCATCAGAAGATGCCTGTGTGTTTGCATTGGCTCTAAACGTCTCCAACTTTTGGGCTTCGGGAACTGAAGTTGTGACCCAAGAGAGCCTTGGACTGGGAAATTGGGAGACCAAAACTCCAGTCCTAAATCTGCCACTGACTCGATGTGTGACCTCACACAAGTTACTTCCCCTCTCTGGGCCCCAGGTTCTACATCTGTAAAATGAA